TTAGAGAGTTGATTTTTCAGAGTCAAGAGCCTAGTGCGGCCGCACACCATTTTGTGCGGACCGCACTGACCCCGCTGGGGTATTTTTGTCCAGTTTTTTCAGTTTAGTAAAATAGAACCTTTTTCCGTTTTTAGGGTATCAGATATTATCAGACCTTAGCTGCGCTCGTGAGAAGACTTTTCTTAGCCATTTTGGACATTTTTACTTAGTTTTTATCATTGAATCTTTGTATTTACCTTAGCAATTAATTAATATGTCTTTATCTTCATCTATTTTCTGTATTTCTCTTCAAGTATGAGTAGCTTGACCCATTAGATAGGGTTATGACTCTACCCTAGTGTGGGTAATTGATGGGTGTTGTGATTTAAGATTAGATTGACTAAGGGTGTTTGTTATTTGGGTCAATTTCATGGTTTAATCTACGAATTAGTTTTTGCAAACACTAGTTTGTGCTAAGTTGACTTGGGTTCTTCTTGAGAAAGAGAGTCTAACTCTCCGAAATTGACCCAACAAGGAATTGGGATGGACTCAAGAGAATTGATAGTCCCAATTAAAGGATTAAACCTCGAGAGAGTAATACCCGACTTGCACCCCAGTTGCTTGAGCAAATTTGCCTACTCTATTGGTCTTGAGAAAGTCAATTGGGCAAAATCACTTTCTCTACCGAGAGGTGTGAGAGTGGGTAAAATTGTGCAAAGGTTAAAGCATATTCCCCAATCATGTCAATCGTGCCTTAGGTTTAATTACCCGTCAATTGGCCACCTAGGAGGATGCCACTACCCTAGTGCCTTTTTATCCATTAGATACAACTTGTAGTAATTATTGCTTAGCATAATCTAGTTGCAATTATAATTAGTAGTTGATAATAATAGATTATTAAAGAAACACCCAAAAATGATTAGAAGTGATATTTGGAACAATTGCACAATCCCAATCTAAATAGAAACTCGATTCCATTCCTAGCTCCCTGTGAAAATCGATCCAGACTCACAAATTGGGTAAAAGCTATTGCGGCCCTATCTTTCCACTTTTTAGCAGTGCAGAGTAGGCTGCGATCAACATTTTGGCGTCGTTGCCGGGGAGATAACGGTTTTGGCTATTTATTTAGTTAGTTTTGTGTATTGTTCTTCTTTCTTTGTTTGTTACTTACTTGTTTGTGTGATTACTCATGTACCAACATGGCTTTAAAAAATGCTAATGACCCTCTTGGAAACGTGATAGCGGGGGAGGAGGTAGATGATGTTGAGCAAGATGAGGTGCCTCTTGCACCTCAAGGTCAACCGAGAGTCCGGAATGCCAATGCTAATCCAAATGACAATACTCCAGACCCTCCCCCGGTTCCTCCAAGAGTGGCTCCCAGAGTATTACCAAACCAGGGCTACGCAAGTGCTATTGTCCCACCCGAATCCAGGCGGGCAACTTTCAGATAATCTATGTGATATTGACCTTACTTGAGCAGTAGGGGTACTTCACGGGTGCTGCAAATCAAAATGCCTACAAACATCTCAAGGAGTTCGTAGATACATAATGCGGGAGCAAGCAGACGAATGTATCCGAGGATGCGCTGAGATTGAGACTTTTTCCGTTCTCACTTCGGGGGAAGGCATTAGATTGGCTCGAGAGACTCCCCAACCATTCCAGCACAACTTGGGATGAGTTGGCGGATAAGTTTATTGCCAAATTCTTCTCTCCTAGTCATGTGACGGTACTTCGAGATGAAATATTAGCCTTCAAGCAAGAGCCAACGGAACCTTTGCATGAGATTTGGGAGCGGTATAGGACGATGGTGAAGGAATACCCAAATAATGATATGACCGAGGCCATGATCCAACAAACCTTCTACCGGGGCATAAATACTACAAATCAATGCATTGTGAACCAATTGGCCGGGGGCAATTTTATGAAGCTTTCTTATGACGAGGCATGTGATGTACTTGATGAAATGGCAAAGCTTCTTCAGCATGGCAGAGTAGAGCAAATGTGCCTCAAGTGACCCTACGGTTATCCATTTGCGCAAGGAATTACAAGACCACGGGCAAGCGATAGCTGAGCTTACTACTACTATGAGCCAATTGGCTAAGGCACAGTTGCAACAAGTTCAGAATCCTCGCCAAGTGAATTCCATGGAGGGTGTTAGTTTGCTTGTCAACAAGAGAAGGAAAAGGAGGCAACAAAATCAAGGAAATTCTGAGTAATTTGTTGATGAATATGATGGGTGTCAAAATGATGATTATGATGACCAAAGTGAAGAGGTACAATATGTCAACAACTATCAAGGTAATAGAGGCAACTCTTCAAACCAACAATGGCGACCCCAAGGAAATTGGGGCAATCAATAACAAGGTGGTGGCAATTGGAACAACAACAACCAAAACAACAATTGGAGTAATCAAAACAACAACCAAGGCAATTGGAATGGAAATAACAACAATTGGAGCAAAAACAACAATCAAGGCGGGTGGAACAACAATGGAAACCAAGGCAACCGGGGGCAAGGCTTCCAAAGGCCCCCAATGCACCAACAACCGAACAATCCACTCCTTTTTCCCTCTCAAGGTCCTAGTTCTTCGGGAAGTGATTTGGGTAGAATTGAGATGATGTTCGAGCAGATGATGAAGAAGAACCAAGATTCTGATGCTCAGTTGGCTTCTCACAATACCTCTATCCGGAACTTGGAGGTGCAATTACGATAAATCTCTCAAACTTTGAACACTCGCCCCAAGGGTGCTCTACCAAGTAATGCGGTAGTGAACACGAAGGGTGGGAACAACAATCATGTGATGGCAGTTACAACAAGAAATGGGAGAGGCGGTGATGTGAATGCCTCAAAGCAAAAACAAGTTGTGGATGAAAATGTTGAGTTGCAAGATGATGAAGTACCATTGGTTGTTGAAGATGTGGTTGAAGGGATGTGAACAATGATGTAAGGATTGACATTGATGAGGCCGAGGTGGAAACTCAAGACAACGTGAACCCGTCTAGGGAACACGTGATTGACATGCCTGAACCGGTTGTGCCAAAAGCCAAGGTGATTGACATGCCTGAACCGAAAAAGTAGTGATGCAAAGCCAAGGTCACAAAATTGTCTTAGAGGATGATGCAAAGCCTTCCTCGGAGCATCAAAGAAGAATGAACGAGGCTATGCAAGAAGTAATGAAGAAAGAAGTGATCAAATGGTTGGATGTCGGGGTTGTGTACCCTATTTCTGATAGCTCATGGACTTCTCCGGTGCAATGTGTATCGAAGAAGGGTGGTATGACTGTGGTGACCAATGGAAACAATGAACTTATTCCTACTCGGACACTCATAGGTTGGAGGGTTTGCATGGACTACCGGAAGCTAAACAAGGTGACCCGAAAGGACCATTTCCCATTGCCATTCTTTGACCAAATGCTTGATCGTCTTGCGGGGCGTGCTTTTTATTGCTTTTTGGATGGATACTCAGGGTATAATCAAATTTTAATTGCCTCGGAGGACCAAGAGAAGACCACCTTTACTTGTCTGTATGGAACCTTCGCTTTCTCTCGGATGCTGTTCGGATTGTGTAATGCTCCGGCGACATTCCATAGATGCATGATGGCTATTTTCACCGACATGGTGGAAGATATATTGGAGATTTTCATGGATGATTTCAGTGTGGTTGGGGATTCCTTTGAAGAGTGTTTGGGTAATTTGGATAGAGTGTTGGCCCAGTGTGAAGACACAAACCTCGTACTCAATTGGGAAAAATGCCATTTCTTGGTTGAAGAGAATATAGTGTTGGGTCACAAAATTTCAAAGCGAGGGATTGATGACAGTCACGTGGTGGCGCTCCTTCATCTCAAGTGATGTGGTAGTAACATACGTCGTGCAGCGACGTTAAATCAGGTGCTTCTTGGGAGGCAACCCATGTGTTTTTCTTTTTGTTTTCTTTGATTTTCTTTATAGTATAGGATTGATTTTTGGGCTAACTCATTGTGAGATATTACAGGGATTGTGCTGATGCAGTGCAAGACATAGTGAAGAAAATGTTCAGTCTCTGAAGTTGCCAGTGCGGCCGCACTACACTTTGTGCGGTCCGCGGTGGACCACTGCGGCTGCGGTCTGTTTTGTGTGGACCGCAGTGGGATACTGGGCCAAGCTTGATCATAACATCCCAGTGTGGACCACGGTCCATTTTGTGCGGTCCGCACTAGTTGGTGAGACTGGGCCCTCGGGGCTTTTCTATAAATAGACCCTGGGACCCTCTTTTACCCTTTTTGCAATTTTAACTCTCAGAAGCATAGAGCACTGTTCATCTTCCTTTCTTCTTGTAATTAACTACTTACATCGATCAGTCCTCACTTCATCTAACAACTGGTAACATAATTTTCCATTTTCTTGTTTCAATTTTGTCAATTTCATTTTATTTTCAATTTTTCTTAGCTTATAATTCTTGTTCCTCCTGTAATTAGTTCGCTAGCTGGGTTAGATTGGTTGTAATGCTGATTCATGAGGACTTAATGAGTTTTATGGGCTAAGTAAATATGTAGGGACATAAATTAGCAAAAGTTGAACTTAAAAGCAAAATATAAGAACCCTAACTCAGTGCCACTACTGGGCACCCTATGCGGACCGCGGTCACTTTTGTGAGGGCCGCGGTCACCTAGTGCGGTCTGTAGTACCACTTTGTGCGGACCGCATTGAAAAACTTCAGAAATATTATTCTTGGTTAGTGTTGCCGCACTACATATTGTGTGGTCCGCATTGGCCCAGTGCGGCTGCGGTACCATTTTGTGCGGGTTGCACTGGTCAGATTCAGAGGAAGGATAGTCTGAACCCCATCCCTGTGTGAACCGTGGTCGTTATTGTGCAGTTCGCGGTGGTCCCTGTGCGACCGCACTCCATTTTGTGCGGTCCGCACTGGGCTATTTCTGCAACCTGGCTGCAACTTTTCAATTCTGTCTACAATTCTTTCTGCATAAATGTTGCTCAATGCTTCTATTGATACTAACAATGTAAGATGATTGGGTTTGCAGATAATGGTTAAACAAAGAGGAAAAGGCTCCAAACAACTCGGCAGAGGTGATTCCTCCTGGGGAGGGAAGCTGAGATTGGTTAAACTCACTCCCCAGGATCGTCAAAACATAAAGAAGATAATAAAGGCAATTAAGGCAGCTGATAGAGCCTGTGATCAGCCGGGGAGTGAGTATGTGCCCTCCCAAGATATCTCTTCACACTGAGTACCAACATATTTCCACTCAAGTTTCAGATTGACAGATGACACTCCTCCATCATCACCCATTGCCCAAGCACCAAAGCATGTTCCCACTGAGTCGTTTGAGGGCTCAGTAGCCAGCAGTGGTGAGTACTCTGCCTCCCCCACAGCTTCATTATCCGGGGAGAGTAAAGGCGGGAGTGAGGAGGAGGTGCTAGGGGATGATGAGGTATTTGAGGGGGGTGAGCCTCAAGTTGCGAGCATTGCCCGAACTAGAAAACCCGAAGTTTGGGAGGATAGGTTTGTGAGCCAGGTGGCGTACCACAAATTTAGGGAGTGGTGACCAGTGAGAAAATTGATACTGGAGCGAAGTTTCATTGATAGAGATCTTTTACACCACAACCCTGATGTGCATAGACAATTCAGAACGAAAGTTGGTTGGGAGCACTTCTTAGATGACTGTGTGGATGCCAATGAACACTTGGTCAAAGAGTTCTATTATAATGTAGCCCACATCGTAAAGGGTTCCAACGTGGCCAAGGTTTAGAACCTCAAGGTGTTGTTTGACAAGAAGTCGCTCAACGAATACCTGAGTTTCAATGAGGAAGATCAATCTCTTTATATGGCAAAGCTGGAGATGGGCGAGGAGGTCCGTCCATGGTTAGCTCAGTACCTGGCAATCCCAGGTACCGTTCTGGAGTGGTTGACTGCTGGGGTCAAAATACTACGGAGGACCCTAAACTTTGAGGCAAGGGGTTGGGAGACATTTGTGTGCAACCGGTTAGACCCTACTATCCATGACCAGACTCTTCCTCTCCACTGGGCTGTTTTGGTTTCTTCCATTATGGCAGGGTACTCCATCAACATGGGGAATGTGATGTCCCGGATCATTTCTATAGTGGGTGCCGAGAGCGACCGAAACTAAACCTTTCCCCAACACCCTTACTATGTACTTCCGGGACTTGCAGGTGGACAAGAGGCCATACGACATCAAGGTCAAGGCGACAACCCCGTTCTCCTAGTATAGCGTGAAGGGGAATGACAAACCCAAGGATAAGAACTACAAAGCCCCTGATTTTGCCCCAACTGGCCAGTCTGAAGAGCCAGTTGCGCTAGATGCCCCCGCTGAGCCTGCCTCCACTTCTGTTGAGATGCCTCCCGGACCTTCCACATCTTCAGCCATTCCTCCTGGCCCTTCCACATCAGCAGGCCCGGAGATGCCATCTTCCCGGGCCCATCCTATCACTTCCCACCAACTAAGTCAGATGCTTCAGAGTATCAACACCTGGATGTACACTGCTTCATCCAAGTTGTCCACCTTAACCACCACTATTGCAGCTCAGTCGGCACCTCAGCCAGCACAGGTCCCACAATCCATTGAGGATTCTTTGAAAGAGATTCTTGAGAACCAAAAGAAAATCCTCACTACCCAGGATACATTGGCAAAGGCAGTTGATTCACATAGAAAGGCTCTCAAGGAGCTTGCTAAGGAACATAAGAAGCTGCGAAAGATATGGTCCTCCAAGGAGTACGTGAAGGAGCTACGGGCGGATGTTGACAAGTTGAAGGTACACCAGCTGCCTTTAGACCTATTGTTTGAGGACCCAGTTCCAGCAACTAAGCCACAGCCGGAGCAGTCACAGCGACCTCTGAAGAGGATGATTCCTAAAGCCGATGATGCTATTATCCAGTTGGCGGACCTAGCAGAGACTTCATCCAGTCAGCCACAGGGTGTACCAGATCTAGAGCCTGTCCAGGCCTAGGTCCCAGCAGCTGAGCAGTAGGACACTGGGAACCAATCTGAGGTTCCCGAGCACACAGAGGACCCAAGTACCATCCATGATCCTATGCAAACCGATAGGGCTTAGGGAGTCTTCATATCTTTTTTCTATTATTTTTTATGCTTATTTGGACTAGTTGGCATTGGGGACAATGCCACATTTTATTTGAGGGGGTGCGCCCTACATTTTTGGATGACGGTATATATTGATTCATTTTATGCTTTCTTGATTTGCACATTTGGTCTGTATATAATTTGATATTAGTTACTTTTATCGCATTTTTCATCTTTCTTTGGATCTGTATATAAAGTTAAATCATTGTATATATTCATCTCCATTGTATATTCAAATCCCCTATTGTATATATTCGTTCTATTTTCGCAAAAATTTTCCGTTTTTAGCTTCTTATTTATGTTCATAGCTTTTGATTTGTTTTGGATGTTTTCAATAAGCATTTGGTTTTCTTAATGTCACGGTTCTTTCTAAAGGTGGAGTGTTGTGTGAACCGGGTGGCTCTTCCCAATGATGGATGGCATGACAACCTTCTTAAGGGTTTGAGTCCGTTTTTGTTTTTGTTTTTAGTAGTTTATAGTTAAGGATACCTCAAGCAAAGCTTCACTTGGGCCTAGCACATTTGCCTTTGATCCCATGGTCAAAGACAAAATGTTGTGTTTAGGATGGTGAAAGTCGTGACCTTGAGACTCTTGTGTTGACCGATATTCATCAAGTGGTTTTTTGGGACCATTGTGAGCTCAAATTGTATCTAAGGTCGTTGTGGACCCCCGACTCTATGTCTTTAGCGATCCTTTAGCTTGTGTGGTGAGTAACTGAATTGCAAATCCAAGTCCCGAGCCATTGGTCTAGAACTTGCCCCGAATGTTTGTTGAGGCAAAATCCTAAGTGAATTATGACTTGAGACGTGATTATAGGCCATCCTTGATCCTAATAATAGCTTGAAAAATTCCATAGCCTACCAATGATATGATCCCAAGTTAACCCTTTTGAGCCTTAGACTTTTTTCTTTCAAGAACCATAAGACAAGCTTATACCCGTTCAAAAAGATACCCTCTCTTGGCACCCGATCTTTACTTGAGCACATGGAAAAAGTATAAGTTTTGGGGGGAGAGACGAGGGTGGCAACAAAGTGGTAAAAGGCACAAAAATGAAGAAAAGGAAAGGCAATGAAAAAGAAAGAAAAGCAAAGACAAAAAGAATGCTCAATGTGAAAAAGAATAAAAAAGGGATTCAAGAAAAGCAAAAGAATGAAAGGTGTGGAAAGTTGAAAAAGGAGAAACGGTTTGAATTGCATAAGAAAGAGTGACAATGTGTCCCTCTAACCCCTTAGAAAGAGGTGAGATGACTCAAAGAGTCAAGAGAATGTATGCCGAATGAATCAAAAGAAGTGCTTAAGGGAAGATGGAACCCACTTAGATCAAAACATTCCCTGCCCTAAACCAAAAGCCTTCATAATGATTCCACAAAAGCCCTATATGATCTTGGGTTGAATGATGCTTACATTAGTGGATACTCACATGAGGGGCAAGCATATGGTACTTAGATCCGGACTTGTGTCTTTTTCTTGAGAGAGATGAGTGGATTTTTATTAACCTCGATTTGTGTGCCAATATTCAAAAAGGTGAGGTTTGCTTAGGGAGAGTTGAGAATGTGTGAGTTTGGGTTCCACAATAACCAAAGTAATTGAGAAAGTTCTTTGATGTAATGAGTCAACTCTTGATACTCTTGTGTCACACTTGATCCATGGTTTTTCAAAGGTTAAATGTTGTTAATGATTCATTTGTATTGAGGGCAATTATTAGTCCCAATTGATGCTAGTTGAGGTTACTTTAGGATAGCTGAAAATTCTTGGATTTTTCCTTAAGGGGCGGGACTTATTTTGTTTGCTTGAGGACAAGCAAAAACTTAAGTTTGGGGGAGTTGATAACTAGGGATTTTGATGTGTTTCATGCTCCTTCTTGCTTACGCTTTGATTATAAATTCTTACAAAATAGTCCCAAAAGGCTCATAAGTTGTGCTTGATTGCAGGTTTGATCAACAAAGTGACAAAACATCAAAGATCGGCTCAAAAGGAGTGAAACCTGCACAAGTACCAAAGACAAGACAACTCAGGACAAACAGGCCTAGTGTGGCCGCACTACACTTTGTGCGGTCCGAACTAGGGAGATTCAGAGAGCTGGATTTGAAGGCATCAAAGCAGTACGGCCGCAGTACATATTGTGCGGTCCGCACTGAAGACACCGCGACCGCACTACCAGTTTATGCGGTCCGCGGAAGCAAACTTGAGAGAGATGTCAAGTGCCAAGGTTCAAGCCTATGTGGTCCGCGGTCGTGTTTGTGCGGACCGCGCTAGACTCCTCCGCGGCCGCATTCCATTCTGTGCAATCTGCGGAGCCTGGGTTCAGAGAGTTGATTTTTCAGAGTCAAGAGCCTAGTGCGGCTGCACACCATTTTGTGCAGTCAACACTGACCTTGCAGGGGCATTTTTGTCCAGTTTTTCCAGCTTAGTATAAATAGAACCTTTTTCCATTTTTAGGGTATCAGATATTATCAGACCTTAGCTGCGCTCGTGAGAAGACTTTTCTTAGCCATTTTGGACATTTTTACTTAGTTTTTATCATTGAATCTTTGTATTTACCTTAGCAATTAATTAATATGTTTTTATCTTCATCTATTTCTCTATTTTTCTCTTCAAGCAAGAGTAGCTAGACCCATTAGCTAGGGTTGTGGCTCAAACCTAGTGTGGGTAATTGATGGGTGTTGTGATTTAAGGTTAGATTGACTATGGGTGTTTGTTATTTGGGTCAATTTCATGATTTAATCAATGAATTAGTGGTTGCAAACACTAGTTTGTGCTAAGTTGACTTGGGTTCTTATTGAGAAAGAGAGCCTAAGTCTTCAAAATGGACCCAACAAGGAATTGGGATGGACTCAAGAGAATTGATAGTCCCAACTAAAGGGTTAAATCTCGAGAGAGTAATACCCGACTTAAACCCCAGTTGCTTGAGAAAATTTGTCTACCCTATTGGTCTTGAGAAAGCCAATTGGGAAAAATCACTCTCTCTATCGAGAGGTGTGAGAGTGGGTAAAATTGTGCAAAGGTTATAGCATATTCCCCAATCATGTCAATCGTGCCTTAGGTTCAATTACCCGTCAATTAGCCACCTAGGAGGATGCCACTACCCTAGTGCCTTTTTATCCATTAGATACAACTTGTAGCAATTTTCTCTTAGCATAATCTAGTTGCAATTATAATTAGTAGTTGATAATAGTAGGTTATTAAAGAAAAACCCAAAAATAATTAGAAGTGATATTTGGAACAATTACACAATCCCAATTTAAATAGATACTCGACTCCATTCCTAGCTCCATGTGGAAATCGATCCCGACCCACAAATCGGGTAAAAGTTATTGCGATCCTCTCTTCCTACCTTTTAGCAGTGCGGAGTAGGCTGCGATCAGTTACATCTAAGAAAGGCTTCAGCAACGTGAGTAGTATTTTAATGAAGGTATAAACTTTATTAGCAACGTGAGTTGCTTAACTCTCACTCAAACAGGATTTAGTAATATTACAACAACGTGGGATTTGCGATTCTAAGGGAGTACGATATAATCTTCCTCAAGAATATCATACGAATTTTTCCCTACTCCGATCTTGCCATCACATGTTTTGTCGCAATTAACGTGTGTTAGAGGGATTTTCAAGAGAATTAACTCAGGTATGCTAAGGTTATCCCTTCTTTCTTTTGGCATAATCTATACGATACAAACAAAGTGAGCAAATGCACAATTTCCATAAATGACTCTATTCATAGAAATACTCGCTTATGTTCTTGATTCCCTATATGTCATATTATTCCNCGGGGCCCTGTCCCGACCTTTATGATAAGTATGTACTCTTTGAGTCTTGTAGACAGATGTTATGTATACAGATACTGGTATAGCTTTGTCGGCCTATGTTTTGAGTTTACAAATGATCACGTTGGCCTTATACGCCCGTATGCCACATATGTAAGTTTTTATATCAGGTCGGGTCATCGTATGTGAGTATTCTCTCATGTTTATTATACTTATCTCATGACAGCCTCTCCGTCTCATTTACCTATGATAGTATGACATGAAAGATATGTTACGTTGGCATTCGATTGAGTAAGGTACTGGACGCCCGTCGTGGCCTGTCGATTTGGGTCGTGACAACTATCTTGTTGTTTTTCTAAGCTTCTTAGTTCATCTAACAGTTCCTTGTATGGTGTAATATGATGCAATGCTCCAGAATCAATTGTCCATTCACAAGCATAGGTACTAGATAACCATGTGACAGTACCTGCCATCACATTTGAGGTGTTATCATTTGATGGTGGCTTGTTTACGAGGTCCATAAACTGTGAGTATTCTTCCTCAGTGAAGAAATGTCCTTGCAGTTGAGCTTCAGTAGTTGCGTTATTGGCATATGATTTGAATCCTCCACTAGGCTGTGCTTTGCCACCCTGCTGGCCTGTAACTCCACCAAATTGTCCAGTTTTCTTCTTACTCTTAGAATTTGGGGGATAGCCCACAATTTTGTACCAGTTTTCCTTCAAATGAGCTTTATACCTACAATATTCACAAATCAACCCCGTTCCTTTAGGTTTGAACCCTTGTGCCCTTCCTTCTAACATAGTGAGTGGATCCCTTTGTGTATCTACCACACCAAGTGCTCTTTGGCTTTCCTCTTGTGACACAGTTGCATAGGTTTCATTAATAGTAACTACTGGTCTCCTTGCTAGTATGTTACTCCTCACATTCACATAGCTTTCATTCAAGCCCATAAGGAACTGCAACACACGCTGAGATTTTAGATGTTCAACTGAAGGTCTTGACTCTTCACAATCACAACAAAGAAATTGGGGGAAAAATAACCAATTCATCCCATAGATCTTTCATTTTAGTGTAATAGCTGGTCACTGAATCTATTCCCTGTCTCATCATTGCAATCTCAGATCAAAGGTATTAGATCCTTGTTAGGTTTGAACGATCAAATCTCTCTTGAAAATCATTCCATACCTTCCTAGCATCTGAGGCATAAACGATCCCTAGCATCAATTGATTCGAAATTGTACTTTCAATCCAAGACATACTATCGCGTTGCATTTTTCTCATTACTCAACTAATTCACCTCTGTACCTACTTTTAGTACAGGAACCATCTACAAATCCAATCTTACCTTTTCCTCTCAGAGCTAGCTTTATTGCCCTGCTCTACAGGGCATAATTTTCTGGCCCTGTGAGCTTAATTGGGATTAAAACTAGTCTTGGAGTGTCTCCTGCTTGAAGAAATAGCGAGTGGTTATGGTCAAGCGAGCTTACCTCGTTTCCAGCCATTGCCAAAAATTATTTCAATTTCACCGGAGTTTCTCACAGGATCAGATCCTCACGATCACAGCTCTGATACCATAAAGAATTTGTGACAGAGATGAAATTTTCACTGCTCTATCAATGGAGCAGTGAATTAGGGCACATGCAGAGAACACTTCCTAGAATCTGAGATTGAGAAATGAAGAAGAAGAAGTAATATTTTCTTATTGAGCTGAAGAGTACAATGACTGCTTTTATAGATAAAGCAGCTAGACCTCACGTGCACTACATGTGCAATTTACACCTCTTAACAATACTTTTAACTACCTCTTAGCAGTAATAACAAACCTCTAATATAACTAGACTTTAACCATAGTTAACTCAGCTTAGTTAGCAATTATTTCAATAAAACGCTCAGTCGAACTAATTTTTTTTTTATGATTTTGCAAGGATAAAATCAGGGGAAAATCGTTTAAAAAAAAGGATAGGGTGCAATATCACAAAAGAGTATATACGTTAAGGGTGCAAAATGCAAAGAACCCTCCTAGAACTATGAATTTTTTTTTATCTCACATGGTGTTGAGCATCTGATTTGGGGCGGATAATACGAATATGCGCCGGGAAGTCAAAATTTGAGGATTAAACACTCCCGATGCCTTTATTCCCGAGCTCGAATCCAGAACATCTAATTAAATATGGAGTGATATGTTCTACCCCAAACACTTTTAATTTCAACATTATAAATGGCAACGACTGACCATTTCCTCCACAACCTTTGGTGATGAACTATGAATTTATGATATAATGAATTTGCTACTAAATTAAGCTTATCTAAAACTGATCTTTGGTGTCTCTTTCTCTTTTTCTTGTCAAAACAATGATTATATTTTTGGTGAATAGTACTTTTAACGGAAAGGAGACCTATTGTTCTGGAAGTACATGCATGATACAACGTAATATTGGAAATGATACATAATATTGGACAGCCTATATAAATAGTACGTAATATTCGATCTAGTCGAAGGTCACAACATAATATATATATATATATATATATATATACTAGTAAAAAATTAAAAAGACTTCCATCCCACATCTAATTTTGAAAAGTTGTCTAAAAAATCAATAATGATTGTTCCACATTGTAGTCAAGCCCACCTCAGACAAGAAGCTAGTTTCAGAACTTCCTTCCCCAAAGCTTGTAGGAGAACCTCCTGCTTTTATGTTCACAATATTATGGGCAGGGTTATTAATATTGTTATGACTACCTTCCATAATATTCAGATGACTTAAAACAGCTTTTATTACTTTGTTCTCACACGAAGAGGAAGTTGCGGCTGCATTTAAGTACGTTCCAATATCAGCTGGCAAACCGCCGAATGCACCGGTAGCTCCGGCGGTGGTAGTAGTGGGGAGGTGGTGGCTGTGGGAGATGAAAGTTTGGTTAGGGTTGAAAATGGAGAAGCAGGGCACTTGCTCATAATATAATTCATTCATATTAATAGTATTGATATTAATATTGTTAGGCTGTGTTTGGTCAAAAGTGATATAAGGATCCATTAATGGCGGTAGAGATGAAGAGCTTATCGTGTCATGTTCATGATAGATGCTGCTTCCTGCTCCTTGTTTGGTAGCAAGTAATTCCTTATTCTTGTGGAATACTCGGCATAACACCCAATCCTCCTGTTTCATTTTATACAACAAGGTCAGTACATAATTTTTACACAATCCATACTTAATAATTTACATTTATTCAGAATAGTAGTCATTGTTTTCTGAGGAAAGAAAACAGAAAGTTAAAAGAAGAAAAAAGTTTATTTTTATGAAAGAACGTGACGTGCTCATTGCTCAAGGACAGGGGATTAGGTTAGGTTCATGTGTTGTTATCTGAAAAACTGAAAAATGGAATTAATTCTGATTTAGCTTAGATTTGGAAATATTATACTAGCACTGATCATTACTAACATCTTGTATAACGATTATGCTATCTGTCTCACTTAAGATGGACATTATTAACTTTTAGTAGTATATTGTTTTATAAAATATTCACAGATTCCAAAAAATAAAATTAATATTTGATGGCACATATGTTAAACTGAGTGCTTTGGAACTATGGTTTTATGTTTTCTCTACTATTTATTTAAAATATAAGTTAAACTAATATTTTAGTTTAGTCAAATTACTTAAGCTTTGCATAAAGTAGTTAAGTTGGTCAACTACTAATACAGTTTTTTAAAGAAAAAAGAGTTCTTATATTTGATCATAACTCATAAATCATATTCCTTACATGATAGAAGAAACTTCTAATGATGCTACAGCTGAATATAAAAAGATTCCCAGTTGAACAGCGCATTTATAGCGATTGGATTAATTAATTAAGTAGGCCCAATATATATATATAAAATTTAGACAATTAAGCCAAAAGTTCATAATCATGGGCCAAAAATATTATCAACTGTCATACTCATACATAATGTACAGATACATTTTTGTATTTGGCACAACGACAATTTGTTTTCTCATATCACAATTTCTCAAATCAAATGACAAATTATGAATGAATGGACAGTTCTCTCAATTGAAAACTACTCTTATCTACCTTTTTATAGCTTTATTATTTTCATAATATTATAGTTAATGATTTGTTTTATGGACCTAAATGCTGCAAGTCGTCAAATGTGATGCTTTTATCGGCAATATAATACCCATTCAGTAAATAAATTTCTTTTTTTTCCTTTTAGATTGTTCAAAAACATTATCCATAAGTTTCAGTTTGGATGTTGATATTTTTTTGTAGTTAGAAGAGAATTTCCAATCTTATCATGTTTTTAATCATTAAGCTGTCAAATGACATGTTTTCAATTGTCTGAGATAATCCAGGTGAAGGGTTATACCTAGACAGGTGTGAGTTGGTGTTTAAAAGCTAGGAATTTGAGATAGTATATTAGTAAAATAAAATCTTCGACCTATTTCTCTATTGCACAATACCAATGACAATATCTTAATAACCCTCGCGCATTGCATATCCCTAATACCAATAACTATTGTTCTTATGATGTTAATTACTTATTATTTTTAACGAATTATCAATTACTATTGTTTATCATAAAAAAATTATATGTATGTATATTATAAGTAATTTAATTGTATATATTTATATA